CAATCCCAACTTTGTATGCGTTGAATTGGCAATCATGTGCTTCATTTTGTACAATGTCACCAATAGGTTGCAATAATACGTAAGTACCTTTAATTCTGTACATTACTATAACATTAGACTGGCCGCAACATACCAATTTGGCGTGATTTCAAAATCATGCCAAAATGAGTAGCCAACCAATATGAAACTATTATTATGAGTATTATCTTAGCCTGTTTTATCTTTCCCTCCAGTAATCCTTAATTAATTCAATATATAATTTTTTTTTTTATATTTTAGTACTTACATTTTTTTTTGGTTATTATGTACTGCAAATAATTTTTTGCACATTGCGATGTCTTTGGCAAAATGAATCAGTGATATTTTTCTTAAATATGTTTTTTTATATGTTTTTGACAATTTTTAAAATTTTGTTTGATGTCTGTCTGAAATGCAAACAGCAAAATAAATATTTTACAATATATATATTGTGTTTGTATGAAAATGTTTATACTGTGTGATTTATTCAAAATATTGAGTCGTCTTTTATTTTTGATATCTTTTTAAGATTTAATTTTATGTTATAACTAGCTATACCCAGCTAAATGTTGCTATTGCTCAGTCAGCTGTAAAATACTGGTACACCATAAAGTATGTCATGAAGCTTACAAAAGTAATAATACACAAAAATTCAAACAAATCTATAGGCATATAAGACGCATTTGTTGTCTGTCTGAATAAACTTTCTCTTTCACACTACATCATTTGGACAAATTTTCAAAATTTGTTTGTGTGGTTAGTAATTAATTATAATGCTATAATTTTAATTGAATAGGCAGATATTGCATTTTTAAGTATAAAAATAGCTATAACTACTGTACTGTATTTTTTTCAGTGAGAGAATATTAACGTCGCACTGTTCAACTACATGATTGCTTTTGGCGATGGACCACATAATTTTGAACCATGGTCAAGTGACGTGGACGACACCTGAGCTGACACCCCCTTCTCCTAACTACCATGCCACACCAATTTAGCAGGAATAATCTACCAATACTTAGCTGGAATATTCTTTGAAATCCACTCTTCCAAGATATATGACAGCACGGGTTCTATGATGAGTATTTTAGCGGGGAAGGCAAATAGTTTTGTAGCAGATATTACATTTTCAGCTGCCAGCGTTTTCAGCGGATTGCAAAGATTATCATTTTTGTCTCCCCAAAATAGTTAATGTCAAGATTTAAGTGTCTTATGTTTATGGAGACCTTAGAAAACGATTTGACTATTTATTTTAAGTGAACGGTGTATATAATTAATTTTACAGTGGAATATATTTAATTAATTTATTAGCTCTAACCGATTAAATTTCCCTAAGTGGAGTATTTTGTTTATGTATGTCCCTTAATTTTCAATGTAGTGACCTAAAAAAATATTGCATGAAAAAAATTTCAGTAAATCATAATGCGGTAAATAAGGCATTAACGTGCATCTCTCTCCTACACGGCGGGTCTTACAAAGCTCTGACGTCCTCCCATTGAGGTGGTGTGGTAGTTAGGAGAGGGGGGTGCCAGCTCAGGTGTCGTCCACGTCACTTGACCATGGTTCAAAATTACGTGGTCCGTCGCCAAAGGCCCTCATGTAGCTGAACAGTGCGACGTTAATATTCAATCAATCAATCAATCTTACAAAGCTCTAATAAAGATTGAGCTATGAAAGTAGCTAGACATTTGCCAACTTGACTCTATTGTCAACATTTTGCTATTTTTTCCATTGAATCACCATTGTTATTTAGGAAACGGGGTTGCTTGCGAGTATTACAATTTTAACATAAAATAAATTCAACAGAAAGTTATATTAATGTATGACACTTTCAGTTATAAATTATTTACAATATTTTAAGCTTCACAAAACTTTTAACAATGTGTTACTTTTGCTGAGCAGAGATCAGCTTAGGGAGGTATTTTCAAAAATCAAAACTCAAGAGTATTACGGGGAGTTATAAATATAAAAAAAATCCTTTTTATCAGCTATTAGATCTACAGACTTAAAATTTAACAAAGGTATTTCTTTCTTTCTTTTTTTTTCTTCAGCTGAGATATGTGAAAAGCTTTTTTTGTTTAATTTGCAATTCACTTAAAATTAACTCATTAAAAACTTCTTTATCCTTCAATCTGTGTTGTTTAACTTTTCAGTTCACCCGTGCGAAGAACGGGTATACCAGCTAGTATATATATATATATACACTGCTGGACAATTGCTAAGGACGGATCACAAATTGCTATGTAGCATAACATTAAGCGAGACATGATGCCTAGTAGGATAATATATAGTTGCCACACTGTTCAGACATTAGAATAAAGAATATTTATTGTTCTGGAAAGTACAAAAGCTGTGAAACATCTGAAAGAAAAGAAAATGTTCATTTGATCTGCGTACGGAGAAATGGAACAATGCATCTAAAAGTCAGCAGGCACCTTAAAGAAAGGTATCAGTACGGGATATGTCCACCGTGGAGTGTGATGCAACATTCCACACGTCGTACCATACTTTGCACAACATTATCCAGCAGCTGTTGAGGCAATTTATCCCATTCCTCTGTGAGTGCACGGATGAGGGTGTTCTTGTTTGTCGGAGGATAGTTTCGACCAGCAACTTGCCTCCCGAAGCATCCCACACATTTTCAATGGGGTTTAGATCTGGAGAACGCGCTGGCCATACGAGACGTTGAATGCCCTCGCTGTCTAGACAATCCTGAACAGAGAGTGTTCGATGACATGTTGCGTTGTCGTCCATTAAAACAAATTTATCACCGACAGCACCACGGAAAAGACGAACATGAGGAAGTAGAACTTCATCAATGTATCGTTGGCCCGTCATAGTCCCATTCGCAACCATATGTAGGCGCGTGCGGCCATTGATCATGATGCCGGCTTACACCATGATACTGCATGTCGGATATCGGTCCTTTTCCTGGATATTTTCTGGACAATAAGCAGTAACACTCTCGCGCCGCGCCAGATCAGTTGGCGCCTACAATCCGATGACAGACTGAACCTAGACTCATCTGAGAATAGTACGCATGCCCAGTCCTGTTCAGTCCTATTGTGATGCTCACGACACCTTTGCAAACGGACAGTACGGTGCTATCTGGTCAATGGGACACACACAACAGGTCTGCGTGCGTATAGTCCTCCTCCCCTCAAACGTCTGGCAACAGTTTTTCGGGAGATGTGCTTTCCTGAGGCAGCAAGAAACTGATTTGCCACCTGCTGAGCTGTGGTGCACCTGTTCCTTTTTGCTGATAGGACGATATATCTGTCTTCTGCAGGCGTCGTGCTTCTAACACGACCTCCACGTGCCGTCTACTACACATTCCAGTAGTTTTAAATGACTTCCACAGCCGTGAAACAACGCTGTGAGCGATGTCGAACTCCCTGGCAACATCTGTTATTTTTCGCCCTTCTTCGATCTTTCCAATAATTCGGCCACGCATAAAATCATCTATGTGATGTTGGGAAGACATGCCAAAAATTTTAAGTTCGTCTATTAAATCTTTCATGTAAAACTTTGACTTGAAACAACAACTGTCCACACGCGTCAAAACCTTTAAAGCTCTTATGAACGCTATCACATGATGAACAGACGTGGAAAAAAAATTTGCATACTCATACTTCTTCTTACTAATATCCCGCACTTATTCTAATTTTCCACATTTTGCTTCCTTTCATTTTGTGGTTGCTATGGATGATAGTGTTATCCGTCCTTAGCAATTGTCCAGCAGTGTATATATACATATATATATATATGTATATATATATATATGTGAGTATATATACATATATATATATATATGTGTGTGTATATATACATATATATATATATATGTGTGTATATATACATATATATATATATATATATATATATATATATATATTATAATAATTCTATTATAATTATGGAGGTTGATTAAACTATTGTAAGACGTGGTGAGTGGTTGATTAAATAATGGAGAACCAAAGGTTAGGCGTGGCCGGTGGTGTGATTTTCGATGTTACGTGGAGCATGGTCGAGTAGGGTAGTATCGAAGAGGCACTCATGGAAATCGAAATTCCTTTTTATTCACATACACACACACACACACAGAAACACATAAAGGTCCAGTAGGGACGGCATTACACATACAAGAAGCAAACATGAACGACATAACACAGACAAAGACACACACAGAATACGCTGCAGCCGGCTACATGACTACAGAGAAACGAGAGAAGAGAGAGAGGCTTCCAGAGACATATCGGCTTTTATACCTGACGTTGAAGACCACGTGAGATTTTTGTAATAAATCAAAAGAAAATACATAGCTCTTAATATTTTTGGATTTTGAATATGAGAATTGATGCTTTTGCAGTTTTTCAAGTGTTTATTGTATTCTTATCAATGTTTTGATATTTTTATTTTGAGATTTTTATGCTGATACTATTTGATATATTTATGTAGTTTTAAGAATTTTTATTATAAGATTTACTCTATTGCAATAATACAATTTATTTACTATTAAAATGAACAACTTTTAATGTGTATAAAATGATAATCGTTTTGAAAGCACTTAGGCTGAGAAAATATTAATAAATAAATAAAAGTACAAGCAAATGTTTACATATAGAAGAAATACTACACTCGGCCAATACTTTACATATATATATATATATATATATATATATATATATATATATATATATATATATATATATATATATACAAAAATAAATTTAAGTCAATTCCTACTTAAGTCAACAAAGAAAAATTTTATTTTAATTACAACTTATATAAATATGCTAAAACTAATGACAGAATCACAATATTAAGTGAAAAACAGAAAGCGGTTTTTCTTGCAATTTTCCATTTTCATTTTTCATGTATGGTGTATTGGACAATTTGTTTATTACTATTTTTCTCCATTGATTAAATTTAATTATTCTAATAAAAGTATAGTGAAAAAGAAATTACATCCTCAGAAATTATGCCTTTCCAAGTAAGAATCGAACTCACGCCCTTTGGATTAAAAGTTCAATGCGCTATCCATTGCGCTACAGGAACACTATATACATATTTATATAGTACTGTATAGTATATATATAGTATAGTATATAGTGTGCGTGTGGTGGAGGAGTGAGAACTAATAGTAGGAATTGGAAAAATACAAGTAAAATTTAGACATTGTGATATGCTTAACAAAGAAATCGAAAAAAACATTCTAAACAGATAAGTGCATTTTAATTAATATATATATATATATATATTTTAGAATACTGTCACAAAGTTAAATTTCATCGAAAAACGAATTTTTTTTTCCAACGTAATTTATTCATTTTTTTTTACTTCGGTTTCTTTCTAAAAATTACCCAACATTTTTTTTTAATGTGATACACAGTTATACTACTACATGGTCATGAAAGTGTTTTCTTTCCATAACTTTGTAAGATTTACTTCATTTTATAGCTTAGAAACTTCTTGCTGGAAATCAATTTTCCAGGAAATGTTTAAGATGTTGTTGCGGTGGCTTTATATTTACTAATGTGTTCTATATAAAAACTCTGCAACTGAAAAAATGAAAATATTATCAGCAGCTACGTTTGAATCAAATGCTTCTAGTTATAGAATGTATTTGAAGGGAAAATATAATGCGTTCTTGCAAGATTTGATGGCGTAACGGTATGTAGAAAAACTGTACCAAATTGAGCAATAAAAGACTCGAGAAGGGGACGGCAAACCGAGGTTCACAAGTCGCATGTGGCTCTGAATGGATAGTTGCGGCTCTTTAGACTTCTAATTTTTTTGTTTTATTTTTATTTGTTTTTTTTTCAATTTTTTAAAAAAAAATTTAGTTTTTTAGTTATGTATTTATTTATTTTTGTATTTTTATTTGTTTTTTTTTAATTTTTTTAAAAAAATTTTGTTATTTATTTATTTATTTTTGTATTTGTATTTGTAAAAAAAAATAATTTTCCGCTAAAATTGTTCTTTAATTTTTCCTTCATAATTGCCTACTTAAAAAAGGCATCTGTATTTGTATTAACATATAAATATGTAACTGGTTTTACCCCTTAACCCTTTATCTATTGCATCATGATTTACTGCAGTTTTTTTCATGTAATATTTTTTTTGAATTACTACATTGAAAATTAAGAGATATACATAAACAATATACTCAACTTTGGGAAATTTATTCCGTTAGAGATAATTAATTAATTGAAGATATTCAACTGTAAAATTAATTACATACACTGTTCACTTAAAATAAATAGTCAAAATCGTTTTCTACGGTCTTCATTAACATACAAAAAGAATAAGGTACCCCTAAATTTTGACATTAACTATTTTTTCGAGACAAAAATGATAATCTTCGCAATACGCTGAAAACGTTGTCAGCTGAAAACGCAGTTTCTGCTATAAAACTATTCTTTTTCCCCGCTAAAATATTCGTCATAGAATCTGTGTTGCCATATATCTTGGAAGAGTGAATTTCAAAGAATATTTCTCCTAAGTGTCGTCAAAATATTCATAAAAATGATCATTCTAAGTAACTCTAAAGTGAGTGGTACTTATAAGTACCGTCGGTAGATAAAGGGTTAACTGGTTTGCCCGTACATCATACGGGCAACTAAAAGTTGACCACAGCTGGTTTGCCTGCATGCTGTGCGGGCACTGACATTTTCTTTCTTTGCTTTGAGCGAATTTTTAATTTTTATGGTGTTGTTATTTAGTGCTAGTGTTTTGGAAGAAGCATGTAGTTTGTCTATATGACTGAAATACTTTCTACCCGACATTGTCTTTAAGGTGGCAACGGAAATTTTCTTTGATTTGAAGGCGTTTAGATCCGTTAAATTTATCTTCTACTGTTTGCAATGATTTCGCATTCAGACTGATGACTTTTGAAATTACGGATAATTCAAAGAACAAAAATACTTTTGGGGGAAGTGTGAATTAAATTTGGATACAGATGCAGAACTGTCTGCTGATTTTTTTTTTAATTATTCTTCAGAAGGACAGAATTCAGAATTTTTTCACAGACACACACAAAGCCCTCAAAGGTTTGAAAAATACTAATATAAAAATCTTTCTGAGAAATTTTTAATAGCATACAGAGCAGGGGTTTCAAACTCGCTGCCCACTACGAACATTTTTTGAGTCCCAACCAGTATATAGGCACACAATATGTAATAAAATATCAAAATTTCTCCCGAAATAGGAAAGATAGTAGCAGAGAACTATCAAAAATGTCGGGACGTTAACTTTTAATTACCTTAAATTCTCTTGTTCTTTTATATGTGTTTATTATAATGAATTACTCAAATATACATACGTTTCTATGAATATTGATTTTTTTTGCGGTCCATCTAAAATTAAAACTTGTTTGTTTGACCCAAGTTAGCCAATGAGTTTGACAACCTTGATGTAGAGTATACTTACAAAAAGAAAAATTAAAGAGTTGCTGTGTTCTACACACAACTGTAAAATAAAGACTGGTTAAAAAACTTTAAAATTAAAATATAAAATTATTTTATTTTCTCATTCTAGTAAATAGGGTATTAAGGTATCCGACTATGTTCGGAACCGTGATTTTGCAAAAGCGCATAAATGGATAATTTTCATGATATTTAGTGTCACTTAGATTAGAATATATGCATAAAATTGTTTTAAGGACATTTTGACAAAACAAATTTTATTTAAATACAATATTTTGGCAAAAAATTAACTTAGAATGATCTTTTTTCCAAATGTTCTAATTTCTGAAAAATGGTTCTATTGTAATAATATTTTGCCTGTATATAGCTCAGACTTCTTTACAGAGGCTCAACTAGAATTTTTGAAATATATAACTTAGAAGTGGGGTTATTCATATTTTACGACAACGGAGGAGAGAAATTTTAAGAAAAAAACGTAAATAATTATTTCAATGGATGGTAAGTCTGAAAATAATGAGAATTTTTCAAAAATTCTAGTTGAGCCTCTGTAGAGAGGTCTGAGCTACATACAGGCAAAATATTATTATAATAGAACCATTTTTCAGAAATTAGAACATTTGGAAAAAAGATTATTCTAAGTTAATTTTTTGCCAAAATATTATATTTAAATAAATTTTTTTGTCAAAATGTTCTTAAAATAATTTTATGCATGTATTCTAATCAGTGTGACACTAAATATCATGAAAATTATCCATTTATGCACTTTTTTAAAATCACAATTCCGAACGCAGTCGGATACCTTAAGGATTTTCAAAAAGGTTTTTTGTTTCCTGCTATGTGTGTATACCATATTAAACAGATTTCGTGCTCAAAATTTCATATTTGAGTATTCCCTTCAATGTTTTAAAGAAAAAACTTAAAGATTGTGAAGTGATTTTAAAATGCTACTACTCCCCTACAAAAATTTACGTCCATGCATGAAATTTGATTTACAAGTACGTCAAACTATGTATAACAAAAGGCGGTATGGGTTTTGTGACAGCATGATTGGTATCTGTACATTATTTCTTTTTATGAATGCTAATTGAAAACTCCTTAAAAATGTATAAGTTCTGAGTTCAATTATTTTTAAAAAATAAGTATTGCTTTGATTCAAAAATGCATACCAACTTTTGTAAAATGTATTATTAGCAATAGGTATAAAATTTCAAAGCATTAAGCACAATAGAAAAAAAGACTTAGGATTTTAAATGAAGACAAACTAGTTGTGTTTTATCTTTCTGGGATAAGTAAGCTTCTAGTTTTGATTTGCCATAGGAATGTGAATAAAAACGAACGTAAAAGCTATCATAATTCTGCGTTTTTTAAATTTAGAGCTTTCACATTTTGGGAGGTTATAAAAAATTATATAAAGAATAATTTAGGCTAAAAAAATTATATTTAAATTTCTGACCGATTTTTTGTCATTTGAATCGTACTGTGTCCCCCTAAGACAGTTACTTATGTACTAAAATACTTTCAATTAAAAACAGTTCATTGAGAATCAATGTATACAATAAAATTAGTTCTAAATCAGGGAAGGTTCAATCAATTGGGAAAAATGCCACCATGAGAGACACTTCACTAAGTGATTTTCAGCATCGTTTATTTATTTGCATGCACGCGATCGAGTTCACTCGTGAATGCAAAGAGATAGGAAAGAGACACAAACCTCCAACAGAAATGACAAAAACACATTCCATACGAATAATATGGTTCAAGGTTAGTAAAACGGGTGTTTAAATGAGATTTACGAGGAAGGATTCAAAAGTTCCCGGACTGAGCCCATAGCATGGAACAGCAGAGTGACTACGATAACGTTTCTGTGTTGCTGCGTTCTTCCCCTTTTATAAAAATGATTTGTCGTAAATCAAGTTATGAGAGGCTACGGTGCTATAACTGGGCATATGGCTCACAAAGCGAGCTTCCGTCCCATATCTGGATGTGAAGCGATTGTGAAATTTCCATGCTGGGGAATAGAAAGCTTCTGATTGGTTGAGCCAATCGTTCGGAAAAGTTCCATGGTCTTGGCGATTTTTGGTTGTATGGGTGAGAGCTGAGTGTTTGCTCTCTGATTGGATCTCGGGAGGTGATGAAAATGACTCTCATTGGCTGCTCAAATCTCTAAGAAAGAAATGTAAGTCTATAAAAGGGGTGGGGCAAATCCAGAAGTGAGGAATACCATTGAGATAAATGAAAAAATGAGAAAATATTAAATTAAATTTAGCAGTAGGTGTGCAATAAAAATTGCACTTAAAATTAATGTTATGGTGGATTGTAAGAGTCAAAAAGAATTCTTCTCGGCCTTTTAGTAAGATCGTTGGGATTCTAGTTAGGAAGATTAATCATATTGACATTATTCGTATTTTGCAATGAGTTTAAGAAATTTCTAGCAATCTTTTGGATGCGAGATTTAAAACTATTGATTTTAATGGCTTTCCGGATGTCCTCATTTCTCATATACCTTGTAGCTTTTACGATCATCCGAATGAGTTATCAGAGGCTCACCATGGCGTCGTATTTTATAAGCGGATGCATTTAGTAACCGGTGATTGAAAGAAATGACGTTTGTAGAGCAGAAAAAGAATATCA